GGTGCAGAAAAACAAAAAAACTGAAAATTGAAAATACAAAAAAAAATTTCGGGGGTAGGGGGTAGGGTGAGTGGGTGGTGCAGAAAAATAAAAGAACAGAAAATTGAAAATATAAATAAAAAAAAAGTAAAATTGGAGCAACTAAGTAAATTTCTAGATAAGTTGGGTTGAGATCCCTTTGTTTTGGGTGAATTTTATAGATTGTATTTGAGCTGCTTAATGGATCAGAATGAATTATAAAAAATAATGGGTTAACTTGGGCTCAACCCAAATTGACTCATGAGCTAAAATATTTATAGCCCAACCCATTAATTTCTGGGCGGGTAAGGCGGGTTGAATGGGTTTGAGCTCAAATTGCCACCCCTAATTGGCATAAAACATAAACTTTAGCATAAAATAATATATTAGTGTCTATTGGCCATATAAGAAAAAATACTGCATAGATAATGTAATATTTGAGTTATTCCCATAACTGTCGCATTTTCCTCATTAAATAATACTACTACCATCATTAAAAGCGGGTGAAATCGTGTTATTCTGGCATTTTCAGTGCTGAAATTGGGCGAAGTCATTTCTCCTGTCTCAGATATTAGTGTGATGTTACAATTACCGAATGAGTCAATCCTATAGCCAACATTACAAACCGTGCACATGAGATTACTCGGGCTATAATATTTACGTATGTACTCTCTTCTCCATCACAGCTAAGAACTGGTTAATTAAGATTGACATCCAATATTTTTATTAATGCAGATGTAACAGTATTAGTGCACCTGTTGCTCAAGAAGAAATGAAACGAATTTTCTCAAGCAACAGGAGAGTACTTTTCATACAACAACAACAAACCCAATAGAATAGAGTAGTCTGTACGTAGACCTTACCTATATCTTATGAAGGTAGAGAGACTGTTTTCGATAGACCCAGACCTTACCTCTATCTTATGAAGGTAGAGAGACTATTTTTGATAGACGCTCGACTCATAAACAATGAAAATACAAGAAGTTCCAGACTTTTGTACCAGTTGGAACACACTTTAACCGAAAACCAAATTTCCAACCAAGAATTAGCACTTTTCCACTATTTCCAACTATACTCGAGAAGATAACTAGAAGCAATCACAAAAGAGAGGCTTCTTAGACCAATATTTTCTGGCACGTTATTCAAAGGAAAATGTTTTCAGTATATTGACCAAAGTTTGCCATTTCCAATCACGTAAAAAAGAAACTATCACAACACAATGGAGTACACTACTATGGAATTTTGCACAGATTTCAGCCAGCATAAGCTAGACATCCGGTAAGAGAGGCAACTCTACTTCACTTTTGCTAATAAAGGATGGCATGTCAAGATGGACATCTGAGATTGAAGAGATTTTCTGCTACAAAGAAGCAGCTCCGGTTGAAATAGGATACTAATATTATTACTTCAAAGCTAGTTAGATCCTCGTTTAGCACATTCTTCAGCTCGTGTTAGTGCATCGTTTATAACATCTATCGTCCAATCCTTGACATCTTCCTGCATATAAGCGATCAAACAAACAGCATAGTCATTCAAAATTTTGTCATGCAACTGAATCAGCATGAATATTGGGGAAATAATTAAAGGTATCAGAAGAGATAACAAAAAGATCGGAAAATGAGTACAATCATGTCGAAGTCACCATCGCATAATTATTTAAACAGATGGTCCTGTGCGATCTTGCGACCAAGTTTCCAAATAAGACATACCAAAAGAATTGCGCTAATCCTAACCCAACAGAATCTTGACGCCTAACCAAACTAGAGAAGTTCAGTTAGAAAATGAAGGTCTCATTGGTTATTTAATATATATTTCCAGACTTCCGGTTTTTGTTTAACTTTTATTTTCCAAACTACATTTGTAATGTTTTACCAGGCATTTAAACTTCCAAGTTTAAAATATATAGCTGAGAGTTCTCCAATTGACCCCCCATAAAGGCCTTAATAGCTGTCTGCCTTTAGATGTTCACTACTTCCAAAAATAGATATATATATTATCATTTTCAATATTTTTGGCCAAAATTTAAGAAGAGCTAGACATTTAACATTCCAATCAAATTGTATTCGAGGATTGCGGATATTAAGAATGTCAACATTAGGAAATTGTGATTACGATAAAAGGAAGATCTGATCAGTGAGGACTGAGGATAAAGCAGTTAGAAAGGAAAGAAACAAGGCTAGCTCAGCAACAGAAATATTTGGACTAGTATGGGTATACAGAAAGAAAAGGGAATTAGGAAAGAAAGTCAAAGGCAATAGAAAGTGAGAAGAGAAGATGAAGCTACGGACTTGGTCGACCTTGATACACTGGCAGTTGGAAGGTCACTGGAAAGCGACCCACGCGCCGGCACGTGAAATTCTGGTGAAAGTGATGGATGGCAAGTGAGATACATGCATGAAGCATCTAGCGCTGGGCTGTTGAGGTTGGGGTCACTAGCGACTGGGTAGCCTTTCTAGGAGGGAGTTGAGACGCAATACTTGTCGATTGAGATTTCCTTTCTTTCTCTTTTCTTTTTTCCTTTCTGGAAACAGAAAAGGGGAGAAGAATTTTTCAAGAGTGAACTCAAATCCTTGGCTCCAATACCATGTAAAGAATAGGAGAATGAAGTGCTTGATTATTTCACTCAAGCATGTTGAGCTTTAAATAACATTTACAAGTGATATAAAAAAGGGGAAACATATTCCTAATTAGACAATTACAGGCAGTCCAAGCTTTTCCCATATTTACGAGGTACCAATTCTTGTCATATTTATAATTTTTTTATATTGACATTCTTAACTGGAGAAAGAAAAAGAGAAGAAATATTAGCATCCAAATGAACAAGGAAAGTCCAATTTGAAAAGCAAACTCAGAACAAAGTTAATCCTGTTGGTCCATGAGAATGAAAACACCAAAATCCACAATGAAAGCAGTTTCTCTTATTCCGTTTTCTAAGGACATGGGGATGTTGAACACCTAGAACTCCCCTTTATTTTCATTCCCAAGCTTATCAAAACATTCTCTGTCCATAAAAAGATGAAAAGTGAACCTAATCAGGCACAAGGTAGACATGCATAGTTCTAGGCCAACAGGCAACCGATGTGACCATAATGATAGATCTCTAAATACTATGACGCCATTAATAGTCATTGTGACTATGATATTCTGCTAGAAACTGCATTCCCACTTATCGAATGAAAGTCTCACAACTGTAGGAAGCTTTCTGACCCACTTAGTTTGTTCCCTAGAATGTTAGCAGGAAAAGTACCCACCACCAGATGAATGAAAGACTAAAGAAGTAATGCACTTACCATCTTCAAAGCTTCCCCTGTCCTTAGCCTTGCATTTGGACGAGCCAGTTTAGATTCAAATGGAGTTCTTGGTCGCACGTCTTGAACTGATTCCCATTCTTCACGTGTAAGCATCCTAACTGACCCTTGACCATCAGGCGCATTCTTTATTTTTCGCTCTATCATTTCTTGAGACTTCGAGTCATCATACTGCATGCAAACACAACTGTAGCTTATAAGCTGCCTGCTACCCAGCTGATATAGATTGTAAAAATGTACAAGCAAGTTTATTATGCCAAGGAATTGAAAAATCTAAGTGCTTAGTGCAAGTCCCCCGTGTTCCTACCTTTAGAGTAAAATTACAAAAGCACCATTTGAGGTTTGTGGATGCAGTCAGCTCAATTCCATCAAACTCCTCAATCAATATCAACAAGATTCCGTTTAAGCTCACTAACAAATGTAATAAAAATAAACAGCATCTATTCAAACCAACCCCAACGTTATAACCGACCCCAACTTGTTTAGGACTGTGGTGTAGTTGTTGTTGTATTCAAAACCAAAGATATTTTACAGTATTAAAGTAGTTCTACTATTAAGTTCGGTTTCTTTGGTAAGGTACAGTACTAAAGAAGTTCTCCTGTTAAGAATATGATCATCAACGAAACAACGTCAATTTATTTACATCACTCCAAGTATGAAGCAACATTGAACTATTTCAACTATCACTATCCCCAAGCTTCCCTTCTACTCACTATTGCATTCACCAGAATCATAACCAACAAATGAATAAGTTAATGCTTCGTCCATTTTCAAGGTCATTCATATTTCAGCCAAATACTAAAAGGCTATAAGTTATACACTGACAACGTAAAGAATATTTAAACTATCAGTTCAATTTAACTGGTTATAATAGGTTCTTACTTCTAATTTTATTTTCTAGGTTACTATATCAGCTTTTCTATAAAGAGTACCTATTAATGCAGGTCAAACTAACATGATCGTGTATAAAATCTATACACTATCAGTGCATGAACCATTTTTATGATGGTGGTGTCCATACCAGCTGACACGCACCTCGACTATTCCAACGTACCTGCTACCTCCCACCAACACAGGTATCGAATAACTCTGCCCATCAAGGCTTGGAGATGGGAATAAATCACCTAGTGTTTTTTGCCTCCGGTAGGTTACTATATCAGGCTTGCTATGAAGTGTTACCTATCATAGTGGGTCAAATTAACCCGATCGTGTAAAAATATTATACACCGTCAGTGCGCAAAAATGAAATTCATACTAAAATAGGATCTAAACTGCAATAGAACCATCCCATTTTCGACTTGAGACAGTACAGTAACAAAGTGCAACACACCCTAAATATAATACATACCATCATGAGGAGTTTAGCAAAAAGTGCGGTACCAACGACAGTGAGTATCATTGGCATAGTAGCAGTGTCAAGCCATGCTCTTGATTCTGGAACTTGAACAAATAATTGGTTCTTACGAGGATCTTTTTGTTTCTTCTTCTCCTTCAATCTAGCAAGATTCATCTTTAAGGTTTCACTAGGGCGATCACGAGATAACGTGTGAACTTGTCTACTAAATTGGCACAATTTTCTACGAACACCCAGCATAATCGGACGAAATGAGGGGTTTAGGGTTTTTGATGAGTAGAGTGTCGATCAAAGCTGTTAATTCAACTTACCAAATGACTTTTGGTAAACTTTCTTCTACAGTAATGCAATCGGAATGGCTGATTTTTCCGTAGGATTTTCTAGGTGAAGCTCCTCTGTTTACTTTCTCTTTCTCTCACCCAATTCTCTCTCACTTCTGTTACCCAAAAAAAAATAAAAAATGAGGGGAAAGTGTGTTTGAATTACCAAAGGCAAAAGCCAAAATGGCTAAATATAACTTTACTTTCAAATATTCTTTATATGTTATACGCTATCTATACCCCTACTGTGTCATTATTGCCCCTGCCGTCATACTTTATAGCATTATTGCCCTTAATTTGGACGAAGTGGCACGTGGCAGCTCCGAAATGAAACTTCCCATCTTATTTTATACCTGATCCGCTACCCACTTAAACCCCTAACCCGACCCAATTAAAACCCAACCCACCTTAAATTATACGGAAGAAACACACACGAAATACACCTTCTAATTACCCTTCTCCCCTCGTTAAAACAGATCCCCAAATCCTAAAACTAGGGTTCCTCAATGTCATCTGCTTCATAGTTCTGCTGTACAACCAAGGTACAAATTTTCTTTGATTAAATATTTGTTTAAGTTTATTTAGAAGGTAAATATGTTTCTAAATTATTTAAGATTTTTTTAGGGTTTACAACTAAGTCATCTATGAATTTCAGAAACTTTTTTTTAGTCTAGGGTTTTAAGTGTTGGTTCAAATCGACAATATACATGTATATGTATATATTTATGGTGTTATTGTGTAGGTTTAATGTTAAATTTTATTTGCATGTGTGCTTCTAAGTGGTGGTCCTTTTGGATTTTTTTGGGCTCTGGATAATTTTGGGGTTTAGAAATTTGGTGATGTTGAATTTCAGAGATGTATGGTTTAGTTTAATAGGGCATCGTGTATTTTATTCTTCATCTGTCGTTTTGTGTTTTTCGTCTATAACAGTGCTGCCCCTTTTCTGTTTTTAATTATTTAACAGTGTTTTTAATTATTTTAGTCCTCATGTATGCTCTCATTTTTTATTTTTTAAGTAGGACAATGTGGTCCCTTTTCATGTTTTATATTTTGTTGTCCCTTTTAAGTAGGACCGACTAGTTGTATTTTTTATTCTTTACTGCAACTTGAAAATTATTTTGATAAGTGGTCCCCTCAAATGTTTGCAGGGTATAAAATAGTTAAAGTTGATTTACTCTTCCATCATGGTGGTGATTGGATAAGAGAACCACATCTACTATACTCTAAGAAATTGGTTCACACTTGGCCGGGGTATGATTCTGATCTTTTATCTTTTATTGACATAGTAAATGAGTACACTACAGAGTTAGGATTTGTAGGTATTCAGCAGCTTATTGTAGCTGCTCCTTCTGGAAAATATTATGAAATAGAGGGGGATGATGGGATTAGGAAGTTATTGTCCCTTGTTTCTGAAGAGTATCGTATCATTAACATATATGCAGTAGATGAATGTGAGCCTTCTGTAGAAGTTCCCAATATTGTCCAACATATTGAATCATTTTTTCCTGTAGTTAATGAGGTTGGTACTGATTGTAGTGACAGTGAGAGTGACCATGAAGCTGGTTCTAATTGTCCAGAATATGACTCTGAAGAAGTGGAGTCAATTGCTACTCAAAAGAAAAGAGATTATTGTGGGTCTAGAAGATTACAAAGAATTATTTAAGGGTATGTCCTTGAGAAGCAAGGAAGTTTATTAAACTTTATTCTTGGCGAAATGGCTTTCTAGTTACTTAAACTTGTCGGGTTTTTCAAAGCCGATACATAAACTTATAACTTTCCCTTTTGAACACTCGAACTCGTTTTTTCCATAACTAATAAACACATCTGACCATTAACCATTGACCATGTGCGCGTGTATTACACATACACATTCGTGTCCATCTAGTCAGCAAATGACCAATGGATGTCTTACACGTAAGGGCGCGAAAAGTCAAGCAACAACTCCTTCTCTTTGATTGCTTTAGCGTTCTTCATCAACCATTTCAAGCTAATTCCAACACCCCTAGCAACAGAAGAACGCCTATCTCTGCTACGCCTATCTCTGCGACACCTATCTCTGCTACGCCTATCTCTGCTCCTTTTTCTTCCCTTCACCACACAACACTCCACCTAATCAATTTTCTTCCTCAATCAAAAGCCGAGGTTGCTGTTTGGAGGTTTGTCGTGGTTCAGTTTCGTAATTTTCTAAATGTTTTAGTTCAATTAATCTATTTCTATACAAAAGCAGAAGCCAACCTTACGTATAATTTCAGAGAGAATCTGAAGGCCCTCCTTATTGAAACTTGAAATCCCCCATAATCTCTTCTTCTACGCATAATGTTAAGGTCCTTCATTAGACATTTTTAACTAACTGAAGTTCTCATTTACAGGTACTCCTGCAATGACATCAAGGGGATTGGTTGAGAAGGACTTCGAGCAGATTGCCGAGTTCCTCCACAGGGCTGTTACCATCACCTTGAACATCCAGAAGGAGTACGGAAAGCTTTTGAAGGATTTCAATCAACGAACTTGGAAGGGGAAGTTATGGGGAAGTTCAAAACTTAGCTTCAACTCTACAATGACAAAATATACAACTTTCCACCATTTTCACGGTCTGAAAAATGAAAAAAAAATTGGAAATGGAGCTTCAGATTTTTAAAAATGGAGGAAGGGGGTATTTTGTACTGTTGGGCGTTGGGAAGGGGGTTTTACGCTCCTGTGCGTCGTGTTCCTCACGCTGCTGATTAGGACCAACTGACGCCACATGATCAATGGTCAAATGTGTTTATTAGTTATGGAAAAAACGAGTTCGAGTGTTCAAATGGGAAAGTTATAAGTTTATGTATCGGCTTTAAAAAACCCGGCAAGTTTAAGTCGCCAGGAAGCCATTTCGCCTTTATTCTTTGGCCAATAAGGTCGAGTTAGAGGTTGTTAAAAGTGATAAGCTAAGGTTGAGATATGAATGTATTCCAGGGTGTCCATTTGTACGTCATATATATGAGGAAAAAGGTTCTCCTGGAGTGAAAATCAAAACTCTAAATCCTGAACATGAGTGTGATCCATCATATGACAACTCTATGGTTGATTACACTACTATAGCTCATTATTTCAAGAAAAAATTACAAGATAATCCAAAGTTTAAGGTAAAGGAAATGAGGACTGATTTAAAAGAAGCTTTTGAGTTAAATGCCAGTAAAGGAAAGTGCAAGAGAGCTAAAAGGATGGTTTTGGAAATTTTAAAGGGGAGCTTTACAGATGGTTACAAGAAATTAGAGGCTTATGCCAATGAACTTAGAAACTCAAATCCGGAAAGTGATGTTGTAATCAATCTGTCTAAAGAGGAGGGAAAAGAAAATTTCTTAGAATGTATATTTGCTTCAAGGCAATGAAGATGGGATTTAAGGAAGGTTTGAAACCCTTCATTGGATTAGATGGCACATTTCTTAAGGGAAAAGCCAAGGGACAATTACTGGTAGCTGTTGGTCAAGATAATATGAACCACTTTTATCCTTTAGCTTGGGCAATTGTAGATAAAGAGATAAAAAGAACTTGGAATTGGTTCTTAGGGCTATTGCAACATTCATTGGAACTCCAGATGGGTGAAGGTATAAGGATCAAAGTGATGAATCAATTGAGAGAACATGAAGATTCTGTGACTAAATGGAGTGGTGAATTCAGTCCTAAAACAATGAAGCTATACAATGAATATATGAAGATAGCCCAAGTTTGTGAGTTGATTCCAATGGGGATAATGGATTTGAGGTATCAGAAGGGTCTGACAAGCATATTGTGAATCTGAGAATAAAAAGGTGCACTTGTAGGGCATGGGACCTCACTGGAATTCCATGCCCACATGCAATTAAGGCCTTATTGTACAAGAGGATTGATCCTCTTACTGAAATGCATTGGTTCCATAGCAAGGAAGCATTCTTGCTAACATATAAATATAAGTTGCAACCTGTAAGGGGAGAGAAATTCCGGAAAGTTGACCCTTCTCAAGAAATGGAACCTCCAGAGTTGGTCAAGCTAGCTGGAAGGCCTAAGGTTAAGAGAGACAGACAGAAAGAAGAGGCATTTAAGAGGCAAGGAGAATGGTCTCTTTCAAGGAAAGGTAGAGTAATGACTTGTAGTAATTGTGGAGAGCCAAATCACAATGCTCGAGGATGTGACAAGGTAACTTCTAGTCATTCAAATTTTATTAACTTTTTCAAACTTTTTACTAATTGAATTTACTATGTGGCAGCCAAAACAACCAAAACAGCCAAAAACAAAAAAAAGTAGTATTTAAAGTAAAAAAGAAGCAACAGCCTACCGGGGGTTTAAATGATGAAGAAGAGGTGGGTCCAATCGAAGAAGACATTAATCTATCAGCCCCCCAACACTCACAAGATAGCCAAAGCAACACTTGTGTATTCATGCATACTCCAGGATTGCAAAACAGTAGGGGTTCATTTCCAGACTTTGAGAACCCCTGCTCTGAGCATGAGCATGAGGCAGACCCTGATTTAAGGCCCATGGTTATCTCAGAAATACTTACTAGACTCCAAAGGGGTAGTAAAAACTTATACCAACTGGGACCAGGCAAATTAGCTTCAGAGGTGACCATACAGGAGCTAGTATTCCAACAAATCTTCCATATACACCAGACAACTTAATGTGGAAGGGCAAAGCTGCTATGACTACAAATCAATTGGAAGTTGAACGTCAAAAAAGGATTGGAAAGTTGAAGCTAAGAAGGGACATTTTCAGTAGTTTATTACTGTTTAAGACTTTTATTTTGTAACTACTGTTTATGACAGTACTCTTTTGGTTAATTTGCACTAGTTTGTGTTTTGGTTGGTTAATTTGGTGATGTATTTACTGCTTATGACAGTACTCTTTTGTAATTACTGCATATGACAATACTCTTTTGGTTAATTACTGATTAGGTTTTGGACTAGCAGCTTCTGGACTGCTTATTTACTACTTTGGTTAATTTGGTCTAACAGTACTATGTAAATTTGGTCTACTTGAATTGAAGATGCTTTAGTATGATTGAATACATACCAATATGGTCTGCTGGAAGTAGCATTTTTAGAGGTATGATTGAATACATACCAATAGCACCTATAAATCAGTAGCTAAATCAACCTTTGATGTTGATATCTCGTAAGACATATGATGGGGTAAATTTCTATCAAAAGAAATTACAAATGAAAGATTTTATTAAGTTCTCTTTTGTAGTGTCAATTCATATTGCAAAGAATTAAATCAATCACTCGTACAGATGTGGGACATTTTGCTTACATACACGACAAGATTACAAATAGAAGTAAAACAATAGTACAACAAATTGCATTAACATTATGCACTTTTTGAATGAATTTCAACATTGTTTGACAGAAAGAATCAGCTATGTATTAAAAAAAGACCTTTTAAATTATTATACATGAAAAAGATTTTATGTGGGATTCAGGGTGCATTACTGCTGGCCTTGCCACAACTGCTGCCTCATTGACAAAAGTGTTGGAATAAAGCACTGATTCTACTTCCACACTACTCACATTCTCACCTCCACTAATAATAATATCTTTTGACCTGTCTTTTATTTCTAATTACCCATCAGGGTGCATTAGTGCTACATCCGCTGTATAAAGCCAATCATTTTTCATGCATTTTGAGGTAGCTTCTAGATTTTTTGAGATAACCCAACATTATGCATCCACCCCTTAATACAATCCCCCATTATTAATCCAAAACCTATAGAATGCACGTGTATTTGTAAGCATCTGGTGTATAGCCTCAAACACAGCCTTCAAACATAGATTAAACTGATGCAAAACACAAATTAAAACAGCCTCAAAATTAAAGATATGGGAGTCAAAACAACTTCAAAACACTGATTTCATACAACCTAACTTGAGAACTCAAAATACAGCCTTCAAACTAATATAACAAAGACTTGAGAATTCATACAACCTAACAAACTACATCACTTCAACAATAATGCGACAATAAATCCAACAAACATCGCACAAAAAATCATAATAAACATCTTCAACTTCATAAATTTCTCTTCTAATTCCCTTGCTTTGTTCATTTGGGAATTGTTTATAGCCTCCATAGTCTTCACCTTTTCCTTTAACTTATCTCTTTCAATCTTAACCGCATCCAACGACGTACTCAAAGTATTGATTTTGACCGTAGTTGCATCCAATTGAGCCTTTAGATTACTTATCACCACCAATGCTCTATCGGGGAATACTTCGTCACGTCACTCTCAATATCCACAAGAATTGGCCTGCCAAAAAAAATAATTAGAATTTCGAATTATCAACTATTAAATCCATGAGGGAAACCAAAAATCTTTTCATATAAAAGAAATAACACATTTAATCATAGTACTTACTTCAGGCTTAGGACACTTATAAAATCTCCTTCCGGGGTTAAAAGAAGTTTTTGAAGTGAATAAGTGAGCAATTTCACCGCAATGATACTTCCTCTTGGACGAGCAGCTAGTTTCTGACATTATCAACTTCTTTGCAGATTAAAATATAATGTTGCCAAGGAAAATTAAAAGAAATAAGATAAGAGCGACTTTAAGAATCACATAAACGAACTGAAAGAACCCTGAAATTGAAATATGAGGAACCCTAGTTTTGGGATTTGGGGATCTGTTTTAACGAGGGGAGAAGGGTAAGGAGAGGGTGTATTTCGTGTGTGTTTCTTCCGTATAATTTAAGGTGGGTTGGGTTTTAATTGGGTCGGGTTAAGGGTTTAAGTGGGTAGTGGATCGGGTATAAAATAAGATGGGAAGTTTTATTCAGGAGCTGCCACATGGCACTCCGTCCAAATTAAGGGCAATAATGCCACAAAGTATGACGGTAGGGGTATAGATAGCCCAATAGTATAACGAAAGCTACATGTAAACAATATTTGAAAGTAGAAGGATATATTTGGCCCTTTTCCGATTCCCAAATGATATTCTACTTGGAAGATTCATAAGTCGTAATCACTGAATACAATTTATATAGGTCGCATTCATAGAATACGATTTATAAGTTGCATTTTGAGTTATTCCTTCTAAATAATTTATGGGTTAATTACACTAAACAATCCTATATAATACATAAATAGGTAAAAAAAAACTTAGTGACCAAAGTATATAAAACGTCCCTTTGAACACGTTTTACCTTAACGTTCGTTTGGGACATTAAGGTACAACGCCTTTTAAAAAGACGTTTTATATAAAATGCCTTTTGTAAATACGTTTTACCTGTTTTGTGGGCCCACCAGTAACTCTTATGCGCTTAACTGACATAACAATAACTCAAATTGGTAAAACGCCCTTTTAAAAAGCGTTTTACTTCCAAATATTTGACCTCCTCGGCTTGGGCATTGTCTTATCTAAAGGCGTTAAGGGTTTTGCAAAATTCATTCAGAAATACTCCAATTTCGTGATAAAATTTTCTTCTTGTTAAATTCTCAAGCTTTTTTTCATAATGTGTGAAGAGTGAAAAGTAAGGGTATCATTATATTTGGGGGGAGGGGAGGGGGGTGAGGTTGTGGTGGCGAATAACTCAGTGTGCTATAGTTTATCTTCACAGAGTCATGTTAAGTTGCCACTTACAATGGAGTACGATAGACTGGTATCGTTGTTATGTAAATGAGGTTGAGCAAACGTTCAGTGAATCTTAAAATAACCGGAAGATATCTGTATTCTGTTACTCCGCAAGGGGTTGCTTGTTATGCTGAGTTTAACATCGAGGATGATGAAACTCTGAGAGATTTTTTGGGGATTCCGGATGAATACTGGGAACTTATTTTGATAAAAATGTTAGAAATGTACTTAAAGGTTGAAGACGTTCGCAATAATGAGGTTGCGCAAAGCAGGGATAACCCTTAATCATCGGGTGATTATTCTGGAGCAGTTTTAGCCGAACAGGTTCCGATTGAAAGAGTTTGGCCGAATCTAAACTTATCTCCACGGGCGAATGAGGATCGAGGAAATAATTTTTCTCCTACTTTACATAATCCACAAGATGACTGATAAACTTCAATTTTCCTTTGTATTACGATGTTTATTTTTGTTGTATTGAATTTGTATTAACACTCATATATTCCACATGGGGTACCATCCAGATATGAGTTTTACAAGTTATGAACCCACGCCCAGTTGGAATATGCGTAGTTTTGGTGTGTTGGATCACGGTGGTCCATCCGGGAGTCATCACCAACAGGATAATGCCCATCATGGAATGTCAACACATTACGACTTGTAAGTGAAGTGATATAGCTATATGTAAAGTATTTATCAATTTGAGTAGCTTATTATTTTGTTGTTTGTGCAGTAAAAAAGAGCAACTTGATGGTCCTGTCCTCACTCAGTTGCCCATAGACGACGTATTTACTCGGGATTTGGCAGATGCGTAGAGTCAGGAAGATAATAGTGATTATGACAACAATGCCGATGAGTCTGGAGATGACACACCCTTCCTTGACAAGGGTGATGATGAGGGGGAAGAGAATGTCGAACCTGATTTGACGAAGGAGCATGCTCCACCTCCCGTTAGACCAAAAGTGTACGAGTCCCACGTACCGTTTCATTCAAGGTATATTTCCTACCTTGATCATTTGCCAAGTATGCCGGATCTGGATGCCCTCACAAGGGATTTTGATGAAATTTAGACAGCAATGTGGGATGAGTCTAGACCAATGGTGCTGGCAAAGGGCATGCATTGTTCTGATAAAGTGTGCCTAAGCATGGTGACAAAATTGTACAACGTAAGAGAAGGCCGTGAGATGACTCTATGGGAGTCAAGTCCGGATCTATACAAGGTTGCTTGGTGTAGATGGTTTACAGGCTGTCATTGGATGCTGCGTGCGAGCAAAAAGGAAATATGATTATGGAAAGTGGGTAAATATATTGGCACCCACAACTGTGAAATGGACACATTCAATGGGAATCACTTCAACTTGGATGTTGACTTGATTTCTCTTCAACTGATTCCACACATTGAAGCGTCCATAAGGTACAAGATCAAAGAGTGTATTACATCCATCCACCAGGAATATGGGTGTACTATTACCAAAAGAAGGGCATATCTTGGGCGCAAACGTGCAACTGAAATTATTTATGGTAACTGGGATAAGTCATTTGCATCTCTACCCAGGTACATGGCCGCGATGAAACACTTTAACCCTGGGACTGTTGTTGAATGAAAGCTTGAGCGGAGTGCAGGAATACCAGAATATATATTCAGATACATATTCTAGGCATTTAAACCAGCAATTGATGGTTTTCTGCATTGCCATCCGGTAATTTCCATAGACGATACTCATGTCTATGGAAAGTATGATATTAAGTTGTTGATCGCCATTGCAGTAGATGTCAATGGACAGATATTTCCACTAGCTTTTGCCATCTGTGCCAATAAAATCCAAGAGACGTGGATGCTATTTTTGAACCGCTTGAAGTAGCACGCTATCAAACAATGTTCAGGTATTTGTCTAATAACTGATCGGCATGGTGGTATATTAAGTTTTGTAGAGCATTTTCCTAAATGACAGGAACCCTATGCATACCACCGTTACTATGTGAGGCACCTGAAGGCCAATTGTAGGACCTGCAAGATTTAATGTAGATGGCTGCAACTGATCACCAACAGTGCAAATTCAGGAGGCACATGGAATTGATCCGGCAGTTAGACGAAAGAGCCTATCATTGGTTGATGCGGCATGAGCTTCACAAGTGTACATTGCATGCGGATGGTGGCAGACGATGGGGAATCCTGACTACAAATGTGTTAGAGTCTTTCAACAGGTTTTTGAAGTTTGCACGTGGATTGCCTGTCACTGTTATGCGGATGTCATTCAAACAGATGATAGAGAGGTTTGTTGAAAGGTATAGAGGTGCATCGGAATTAATGGAGAGGGGTGTTGAATTTATGCCAATACCAATGAAAAGATTTGACAAATACAGGAGGCGAGCACATTGGCATTCATTTTTACAGTATGATCACAACCAGGGTATTTTGAAGTTCGCACCACTATCCATCAACACTGGGGGAATAATGTACAAACCATAAATGAAGCCAACAGGTTGAGTTCTTGTGGGAAATGATCCATCTACCACATCCCGTGCTCACATGCCATCAAGTTCTTTCAACATATAGGTTTAGGGCCAACCAACTATGTTGATAGGCAATACAGTGTTGCTGCATACTTAAACACATATAGTGGGCAGTTACAGCCAGTGGGTGCTGAGCATTATTGGCCTCCGGAACCATTTAAAATGGTGTGTAACAAGGACTATTTGCGTAAGCTACAAGTGCAAAAAATAACGTGTATACGAAACCAAATGGATGTTGGTGATACCGTTTATGCGCGTAAATGTGGCATATGTTCGCAAACAGGACACGATCATCATAAATGACCTTCAGCTGATTTGGGTGGCGGTGGTAAGCTAGCTCCTAGTGGAAGTTCATCTAATGTGCCCAACTATCAAGGATACACGTAGTGCTTTATTTTTGTAATGTGGTTGTAATAAGTGTATGTACTTGTTTATGTTGCAAGATGTATCAAATAAAATTATGTTTCCATTGTTGTTAAATCTTATTGATATTTAATATTTTTTAGTTGAGTAAATTAATTAATTTCTCCCTCCCGTTCATGTAATAAAAAATAGTATTGGATTAAAAAATAGAAAATTTTTACGTTCACTTTCGAATTTCACTCTAAAATTATTAGAAAACTATACTGTCAGAGGAAGAAGATGTTTGATAAATATGTGAATATATATAGCACGGTTAAATACTACGTTATGTGTGTTGTCTTGTCGATATGAAAAGCTGCCCACCTGCGAAAAAGCTATTTTGTGTCTGAAAGAATCTTTAACACGCGAAGCATAGCGCGGTTAAATACTACGTTGTGTGTGAGCATATATAGTACGGTTAAATATTATGTTTTGTGTGTTGTCTTGTCGATCTGAAAAGCTATCCGCCTGCAGAAAAGTTGTTTTGTATCCGAAAGAATCTTTAACACGCAAAGCATAGCACGATTAAATACTATGTTATGTATGAACATACTGCGGTTAAATACTACGTTATGTGTGTTGCCTTGCCTATAAATAACGGGTGCATTCTAGTTATTTTTGCGCTTAACCATAACAAATAGCAAAACTTTCCATAAAAGCAGGGTTTTTTCCGCTTTAACAAATGTTTGAATGCATTTATGTACCAATGTTCCAATGTGGCAAATGTTATATGTTGGTGGACTGTTGGGATGATGGTCAAGTTGGGCGCATATACTGGATGTGTGTGAACAGGTTTAGAGGCAACAACGGAAATTTTTGTAATTTTGAGGGATGGTTTGATGAACCCTGTAAGCAGGAATGCTACAAAAGTCTTTGCAGTATTATCATGATTTGACCAAAAATTAGTGGGAATATGAACGAGAATATAAATGAGAAATTGCAGAGTTGAAGGAGAAACTAAAAGAGGCGGAAGAAGAAAGCAATAAGCTGGAAGAGAAATTTAAGTGGTTGGAGCAGAGAATAATAGGCGGTCGTGACTAAACAATTGCATGTATGTGTTGAGTGTAGTACTTTATCTTTATATTTCCGATGTCATGTGTTTTCATTAGTTGTACTGAATTTAAATTATGTTAAGTTGCTATGTTTGTGCTTGTATTGTAGTATTAAAATAAAGAAGAAACGAAAAAATAA